GCTAAAAGTAGCATCTGCAGATACTTCTGAACATTAACTTCGATGTAACAGGCAGGGCTGGTTAAAAACATTATCAAACTTGACTATCTTTTATTTATCTTAAATTAAGAGAATTATAGCTCAGAAAAAAGTATGCAGAACATTTACATAGAATGGTCTTGTGAACAAATTTAATGGGAAAAACAATATTTCTCAGCTGAAAAACCAAACTGAATCTTACCAAGCTTTTCTCCTGGAAACCTTCTTTTAGTCTCATGACAATTTTTGCAAGCTTCAGTTGCTTTTTTGCTCTGGCAACGGTGTATTTTCCTCAAATTCTTGCTTTTCCCTCTTTTTGTGCTTTTATTATTTTCGGTAAGCAAACCATCTCTATCCCAAACAATTTTAAAGAACCATCCTTTGACTGATAACAAATGAGTTTATGTATATAAATGTTGTATAGACCAATCTTAAATATTCTTGTTTTCTTGTTTCATCGTTCTTAACAAGACTCCAGTGATGATTTAAGAAGATATGAACTCCAGTAAATATGTATCAGATTGTTTATTACTTTTAGAAATTAGGCTGAAGTATGTAGTTAGACCATTTTGATCTAAGTGAAAAAGGGAGAACATGAGCTATGTATGATGTGGTAAATACAGATCATTATTTGTATTTTTTTTTTTCCAGACAGGAGAAAAAAAAATTGTAGATTCTTAACAGTACTAGCTTCCCCAACTTTTTGAGACAAAACTCATCCATAACCAGTATGAACTGGAGGTGTTAGAAGAGCAACTTTAGAAGACAGGGTGCTTACAACATATGTTTAATGTAGATTTGAAGGGGATCATTAGAAAAATAGCATTCTTTGTGTTTACAAAACAAATGTTTTTATGTTATCCAGTTCCCGCCTTAGCTTAAAGTATTTCCTATTCACCTTAATAATTAGAGCAGAAGGATATGATGAATGAAGTGCCTCATTACCAAGTTTGCTTCCCGGGTCTACGCAGAGAGTAGCTGTCTGCGTCTGCCCAGTTAGCCCATTGTTAAGCCTAAATGATGCTGACGTTCAATTCTCTTGCAGATAATTGGGTCCATCCATAGATGGAGTTCTCCAGTCAACACAGCCTTTTGATTGACATGCTTCTTGATGTTTTTATTATCTCTTATATGACAGGAATGGCGCCTTTTCTGTTTTTTGAAAAAAGTGTTACTGTACATGTAATTAGTTTGATTCTATAGAAACTATTTCTTAAGACACAAGAACTATATTATGGAATGAAGACATCAAAATAATTATGAGATAAACAAATGATCAGTCTAAAAAACAATTTTTCACTCAGACATACTTCCTTTTTTTAGGTGGTTGTTGCATTACAAACGTATTACATGTTTCTTTCTAGTCTCTGAGTGGATTGATTTTTTTAGTTACTCTTGTGAATGCAGTAGTCACCAATGACAAGCATTTACTGGCTTTGCTATCCATAGTAACTGAGATCCAGTGCTTCAGAAATCTCCAGTGGAGTCTGAAAAACCTGCATTTATAGCTGGCAATGATATTTACAGACCATGAGCACTTGGATAAGCTACTTAACCTTCAGGGTCTTGGTTTCCTTATTTGCAGATTAAGGAAGATTTTATTTACTTCACAGATTTGACGTGAAGAGTACTGTACATGAGACTATGTGCAAAAGCAAAGTGAAGATTTTGGGAATATTTTCTACAGTTAATTTCAATTAAGTAAAAATTGAAATACACAGAACTTAAAATCTAGATTGTTTAAAAATATGTCCATAACTTACTTAATATATATGGCCCTCAGATGAAAACAATTTCAATATATATAAAAGTATAAGGTTTGAAATAAGCAGTGTTACCCTCCGTGCGACAAACCTCTCGCGTTTGAGTCCCCGTAGCCGATCCTCGTGCGATGGAAATCCTTCCTCCAGGTTCCGGAGCACCCCACTATTGCTGGAAATTCCTAACAAAATATCCTTTAGCCGTCCTGACTTAAACAACCCAATCAACAAATGGGCCAAGGACCTGAACAGACACTTCTCAGAGGAGGACATACAGTCAATCAACAAGTACATGAAAAAATGCTCAACATCTCTAGCTGTCAGAGAAATGCAAATCAAAACCACCCTAAGATACCATCTCACTCCAGTAAGATTGGCAGCCATTAAGAAGTCAAACAACAACAAGTGCTGGCGAGGATGTGGGGAAAAGGGTACACTTGTACATTGCTGGTGGGACTGCAGATCGGGGCAGCCAATTTGGAAAGCAGTATGGAGATTTCTTGGAAAGCTGGGAATGGAGCCACCATTTGACCCAGCTATTCCCCTTCTCGGTCTATTCCCTGAACACCTAAAAAGAGCATGCTACAGGGACACTGCTACATCGATGTTCATAGCAGCACAATTCACAATAGCAAGACTGTGGAACCAAACTAGATGCCCTTCAATAGACGAATGGATAAAAAAAATGTGGCATTTATACACAATGGAGTATTACTCTGCATTAAAAAATGACAAAATCATAGAATTTACAGGGAAATGGATGGCATTAGAGCAGATTAGGCTAAGTGAAGCTAGCCAATCCCTAAAAAACAAATGCCAAATGTCTTCTTTGATATAAGGAGAGTAACTAAGAACAGAGTAGGGATGAAGAGCATGAGAAGAAGATTAACATTTAACAGGGATGAGAGGTGGGAGGGAAAGGGAGAGAGAAGGGAAATTGCATGGTAATGGAAGGAGACCCTCAGGGTTATACAGTGGAGGAGGTAGAGAGAGAGGAGGGGAGGGGAGGGGAGAGGTGGGGAGGGGGGAGGGTGGAGGACGGGAAAGGCAGTGGAGCACAACAGACACTAGTATGGCAATTTGTAAATCAATGGATGTGTAACTGATGTGATTCTGCAATCTGGGTATGGGGTGAAGGTGGGAGTTCATAACCCACTTGAATCAAAGTGTGGAATATGATATGTCAAGAAATTTGTAATGTTTTGAACAACCCACAATAAAAAATTAAAAAAAAAAAAAACAAATAAAAGTATAAGGTCACTAATTTTTGTTACAGCTTCTAAACTTTTTTACTTTATGGATATTTGTGGTTTAAATATTTAAAGTGACATGTCATATAAAGCTATATAACAAAAAGTTATTTTGCAGATATAATCTTACTGAATTTCCTAAAAGGAAAATGTCTTCCTTTAATAAAAATTTCCATAACTTATGCATAAAATTAAGGTTAAGTATTTGCTTTTATGTGACAGAAATCTTGCAAAAGATTTTAAAAATATCAAGTGTTAACTATTAATTTGATTAATAGTTTTAATATATTTGTGCATTTTAAACATAAATTTGCATTTGTGGTGTAAAATAGTTTGTTTTAAACCTTTTGAAAACAATTTTTATTCTAGCTTTACAAGTTCTCTTTACAGTATAATTTTTGATACTGAAAAAACCTTAATATTTTCAAGATAAATTTGAATCAGTAGTTAGGGAATACATTCATATGAATGGTTAAAAATTATTTAGATATAGAAGATAATGGAAAACTGTTGCTTAAAGAAAAGAGATGACATGGGATAAAACTGAATAATTTCAGAATAAAGATATAATAAAGGAAGCCAATTAGTTGCTAACAAAATGTATAGTGTCATAAATCACAAAATAGATTCTGGTGTCTCATCTATTTATTACTGTTATCTCCTATACCCCATCTCATCTCAGAGGATATGAAAAGATGTCTCACTAAACTATTCTATTCATAAATATAGCGATAATATTATATCATCAGAAGGACAAAGTAGAAAAGGACTGGTCATTGAGTAGAACCAATTTCTCGTCTCATCTGTTAGTTTTAATTCATTTTTTTTTCACGTGAACACCAAGATATTAACAAATGCTTCACTTCCCCTGATATATTTTTTCATTTGTCTTGATTTAAAGTAATTCTACTACCTGTTGAAATAATTTTTAATTAATTGAAAACCAAAATCAGAGATGCACATCTCAAAATCATGAGCTGAAACTGCAGAGAGACAAACATCTTTATTTTTAAATTATCAAGTGCATTCACAAGACAGAAAAAAACAAGCTTGTACAAGGGTGACTCAAGTTGCCCAGGCCCAGCTGTATGCGTCCAGAACAACGAAAGTTTGGCACGATCAGAACAGACCTCTGTGTTGATGGCTGAGGGCTTCAGCTGGCATCAGTGCTGCTCTTTTAAAACACATCTTTTAATTTTTTTCTCAAAAAAAAAAAAAAAGAAGTCTCACAGCAGGGTCATGTTTACCAATTTTTATGCTTCTACAACATGTGCAGGGATAGAGCCAAATATATTTTTACTAGAAATTTCACACTGGGTATACATCTGGGCAAAATTTATACCTCAATGCCCAGAACTTTTTCTCACTTCTTATTTTAATGGAATCAATTGTCTAATTTGGTAAATAAGTTTTCTAATGTTATATTAGTTTTGATCTTATTGGGGCTAAATATTTTACTAATAGACAGCATATAATTGAGAAAGAGTAGTCAAGAACAAAAAAATGAATTTTCCTATTATACCAAACTTCAAAAAATATAGTCATATAGTAATGACATTGTTATTGTGGAACTAAAAAATAAATAATGCAATATAATAATTAAAAAACAAATATTAAAAATAAATAACAAATAATATAAATATATAAATTACTTATATTCTTAAATATGAACTGCCTTTTTTAAAAAATAAAAACATTTAGAACACTGTTGTCAGTCCAGCCCAAAATCACTTTTAGATTAGGTGTATCAAGTTACATATACGATTCACTGAAAAGAAACACAAATGTTTAATTCTAAAAAGCAGACTTCCTTTTAATGCCTTTGTTACTAGGACCATTTTGAACACACAATATTCTGAAGCTGCTTATCTTTTAAATAAAGTTAGTTTTAAAAGCAGATACTTCATATTTTGAGCATAACATCACACATATAACCACAATACAGATACAATAATATTGAATGATTACTTAATGGATATTCTAACAATGCAAACACTTTTTATTCACGTTTGCTGCATAGCAATTACATTTTTTTCTTTATTGGTTTTCCAACAGTGGTAATGCAATTTTGATGTAGTTACTGATAATACAAGTACTAATACTTTGACCAACAACAATTACAACAATAGTTTGTAACAATTAAGCTCAAAGACCACATTGATTTCTCCACCCACCTCTCTTCTGATTTTTCATAAGGATAAGAAGTAGTGTATTCTTCCTTTCTTCCCTTTTATCTGAAAATCTGATCTCTAAAGAAGAATTCCACTTGATTTAATTTGTCATTTCATTTCTGTGTATTTAGTTGTGTCTTCATTCTTCTTCATCTCTTTACTAAGGAGAAAAGTACACAAAAAGTACTAAATGTGTCTTTGGTCACAACATATGTTAGTGTGCCCAGGCAACAGCACAAGTAAGAAAAAGACATTGTACAACACACACACACACACACACACACACACACACACACACACATACACAACCAAATAAAATGAAAATATTAGTTACCTATCTTATAGCTTGTCTCTCTAACATACTGTTTCATTGTGTCATTAACAATTTAAGGCTTGTTTAAGCATTGAGAAGATAAGCGAAAAGAAACTTCTCATCTAGAGACTGGAAAAAATAAAAACTCTGGGTAACTTTCAGAAGTTTAGGGCAGACAATTAGAGTATGTAAAGTTTTTCCTTCAATGAGGAAAAAAAAATCATCATGATGTTACTTCAGTGTTAGTGATTAGCAAAGATACAGACCGCTTCATTAATAGCATGCTTTCATTTAGTCTATGGCTGTGTCTATTTTTATAATTGAGTTAATTATTATTTTTCAAAATTAATTTAAAAACTGATTTCATTTTTGACCTAAGGCAGCTTTGCTATAAAACAAATTATACCATTAATAAAATCAAGAACCAGTATGCAGATGAGACAAGAGGCTGCTTCCTTAGGGATCACATGGTAGGTGCTCTACAAGTAAGGCACAGTCAATGAGTGGGCTGAACCTGAACTTTTTAATGTAATTAACCATATAGCACTATGGAACATCTGTCTTTCCTCTAAGCAGAGAGGCCATAACTTGATGCCCCTTAGAAATAACCTAGCTGAAGCTTGGAATGAGGGTAAGATGGTGAAGGTGACTGAACTCCATTGAACATTCCCGAGAAAGGCCATGACTGGCACATGTGTAAGAAAGGGCAGAGGGAACCATTCCCTAAGTGTTCTCCCTGGGGCTCAGGCAGGTCAGTAAACATCTGTGCTTTTAGGAACAAGTCCAATCTTATGTAAATGGTGACATTATTTTTTTTTGTATGCAAGAAAAATTTATATAAAGAGAAAAAAATTATTTATTAGTACAAGTTTCCTGATTTTAACTTTGTTAAATGGAGCTATACAGCTTGTATTACATATGGAAGCCCAAAAATATGTTCAAGAGAAGCTCATAAAAGCATCTGAAGCTAAGTATAAAAAGGTACAGATATGGCATGACAAGATACAATATCACTAGGGGCCAAAATGTATCATAAACTTCCCTTTTCATATATATTAAGGAAAAGTATGTGAAACTTGCCCCAAGTTAGGGTCTGATAAAAGTAGAAAAAAAAAAGTACTAAAAGCTCAAATTAGTGCAGGGCACAAGTTACATAGAGACCCTAAAAACTTCCGAAAAGGATAGAGGAAGATAAAAGGATATTAGAGGAAGAATGTCACAAAACAAAATGAGGAGTTCATGGTAATGGTAGGAGAAAAAGGAAGAAGAAAAACAGAAAAGGGAAGGGGAGACAAGGGGAGACGAACAGCTGGAAATTAGTGAGATGGATCCTGCAGGTGCAGACGATGTAGGACAAGTTAAATGAATCAGGTGGAGACTGCACTGTGAGAAATAAACAAAGAAGCCAGGAGGACCCTCAGGAGGGGGAACCAAAAAGAAATTTCAGCAGAAAAAGCTGAAGTAGGCAGCAAAGGAAACATCTTTAAGAGAAATGATTTAGACTAAGAAGAGGAACAAACACATTGGATAGAAAATGACAAAGACTGTCCATGAGAGGAAGAAAAGGGACAGGATAAAGGAAAAAGAGCAGAGATGGTCAAGTGTGCACCTCTGACCACTGAAAAGCAAGAGTGGTGCTTGGCATGACATCTGCTGACAGCACAGCCACCTTCCAGCTGTAAGATAGCAAGGGTTTGCTTAAGATGGTAGAGAGATCATCTGACCTAAACAAAACAAAAAATCCAGGTCCCTCCCTTCTCTGAGGCACAAAGTACCACAGCTAACAAAGGAAGAGAGTTAACAAAGCAAGGCATTTTAAAAGGCACTTCAGATGAAAAGAAAAAGGAAATCTATGTAGCAAGACTATGAAAATGAATATGAAACTAGGTTGTGTGTGTGTGTATGTGTGTGTGTGTGTGTGTGTGTGTGTGGTGTAAAAAATAATATTCAGAACAATCCTGGGCCCTATTCCATAAGAAATTCAATACAATATATATTCCCCGAAGGTGTGCTTCTATGGCCAGACACCATGGTAGGTGCTGAGAGAAAAAGTGTGAGTGTGTTATGGCCTTTGCCCATAAGCACTGTGACCACTTGCAGATGTAACAGACAAACAAATCACCCTGAACTTGGAGCCAGGAGACCTTATTCTAGTTAAGGTACTAGTGCTTGTGACTGAGACTTTGGTGTCTTAAGTGTAGAAAGAAGAGACTGCATTAAAGAATTTCTGAAATTACTTTCGTTTTCAAAGAAATGATCAACTAGTATGTATCTATGAGAGAAAAATAAGAAAATACATAAATGAAAAAGAAATCACCACAATCTCACTACTCAGATAACTAACATCTTTTGATGTATATTTTTCAGTATTTTATGTATATAACATATAAAAACTATTTTATACTCATCTTTTAAACTTAAAAATCTTATTATACTCATCTTTCCATGTCCATAAGATACTTCCATAACATATTCCCCAAAGGTGTGTTTCTGTGGCCAGACACCATGGTAGGTGCTGGGAGAAAAAGTGTGAGTGTGTTATGGTCTCTAACATTTAAACATATTATAATTTAATCGACCCTTTATTCATGAAAGTTGAGTTTTTTTCTTCTGTTTTTAAAATATCTTTTCTGATTTTTATCACCTTTAACCAAATCTTTCCATTTGTACTTGAGTATCTTCCTATAGTAGACTCCTTAAAGTAAAACTGTCAGGTTAAAGTACATAAACTTTTTGTTTGTTTTGAGTTGGAGTCATGCTATGGTTGAGCAGGCTGCCCTCAAATGATCTTCCTGCCTCAGTTTCCCCAGTAATTTGGGACCACAGGCATTAAGTACTGTGCCTGGCTACGTACAGATTTTGAAAACTTTTTATTAAAAAACATAACAGGGGCTGGGGCTCAGCAATAGAGTGCTTACCTAGCATGTGTGAAGCCCTGGGTTCGATCCTTAGTACCACATAAAAATAAATAAATAAAATTAAGGTACTATGTCCATCTACAACTAAAAAAAAGTATTAAAAAAAAAAGAAGAAGAATTTATCCTTCACAAAGAACAAGTCAATCTCATCCTATTACCAACAGTACAAAAGGATATCCACTCTCCCATATTTTCATCACTACTAAATTCTAAGTTTTGAATTATCATTGTGTGAGGGGAAAAAATATACTTTTATTGTTTTAATTTCCAATAAATTTAATCACTGGAATGCAAACATTTTTCATGTTTATTGCCACGTATTCCTTTGTCCTATGTACATCCTTTGACAATTTTTCTACAGATGCATTTCTTTTCCTTAGTATCTTAGAGCTTTCTGTGTGTTATGGGTATGAATCTTTTAGGTAGAATCCTTCTCCATTCAAGGTATTGTTTATTTAAACATTTTATGGCCTTTTTTCTTTTTAAAATGCCTAATTTTAAAGTTCCTATTACTTAAACTTAAAAATCAGCTTAAAATTGTGTCTTAGCTGGGGAGAGAGGCATATGTCTATAGTCCTACTTACTTAAGAAGCTGAGGCAGGATGATCACTTACCTTCAGGAGTTCTGAGGCCTACCTTCGCAACAGAGTGAGGACCCATCTCAACATTGTCTAATTCTGGCATAAATGTTGAAGAATTACTCCTTAACCCATAATTACACAACTATTCATCTATATGCTTCCTGTACAATTAGATTTTATTTTTTTTTACAATTAAAATATTTTGAGTCCAGGGGTGCTAGACCACCAAGCAACATCCTTAGCCCTTTTTGTTTTTTGAGATAGGGTCTTGCTAAGTTGCCCAGGCTGTCTGTGAACTTCAGATTCTCCTGCCTTAGCCTCCAGGGTAGCTGGGATTATGGTCATATGGGGACTACAAACGAAATTTAAAAATAGTTTATGGAGTTGAGCTGATTGCTGCCAGCTACTCAGGAGGCTGAGTCAGGAGGATCAGATTTGAGGCTAGCCTGGACAACTTAGTGAGACTCTGTCTCAAAAAAAAAAAAAAAAAAAAAAAAAAAGGGCCGGGGATGTAGCTCAGTGATTAGAATCCATATGGAAAACAGAGTAGAATATGTTCAATCTCCAGTACCATACATATACAAAAAGAGAGAGAGAAAAAAAGAATCCATATGGAAAACATGAATCCAGTTTTAGGAAAGTGAAAAAAAAAATCATACATGTGAACATAAATAGAGAGCTGTAACATTTCATTTTCAACAGACCGATTTTTTTTTTTTTTTTGGTATAGGGGATTGAAACTGGGGCACTTTACCACTGAGCTATATCCCAAGCCCTCTTAATTTTTTATTTTAAGGTGGCCTCACTAAATTGCTTAGGGCCAGGCTAAATTGCCCAGGTTGGACTCAAAATTGTGCTCCTCCTGCTTTAACCTTCTGAATTGTTGGGATTACAGGCATGGGCCACTGAGCCCAGGAAGACCAATTTCTCTTCTTCCTAAAGAGAAAATAAAGCCTTCTGATAGGACTATTCCCAAGTACTCCCTACCAGAAAATGTCATTCAAACACATTTCTCCACTCTCCCATCTCAGAAGCAAAAGCAATTCCGTAATTCCTTAGGACCCAGAGTTTATGCCCAGGCTCCCAAACCTTGAAGGGTTCCTCCTCAGGTGGTCCTGTTCTCTGGGTTTGTGAATGTTCTTGTCATTCCCCTCTTTATAAGGATCTTCTCTATACTCAGTGCTTCCTACTATTTAGTTCAATCTTTCCTTTGTCTGGAGTTTTGGAAAGTAAGGCTATTCTGACAGCCTTTTCCTTTGAGGCTAAGGATACCTGATTTATGCTTCCAGGACCCTCCATCAAAACTATCTTCTCCAGCTGGGTGTGGTATCACATGCCTGTAATCCCAGTGACTCAGAAAGATCCAAAGTTCAAGGACAACCTCAGTAAGTAAGTGAGGCCTTAAGCAACTTAGCAAGACCCTATCTCAAAATAAAAAAAAAAAATAAAAAGGGCTGGGGACATGACACAGTGGCTAAGTGCCCTTTGGTTGAACCCCCAGTAATAAACAAACAAAAAACTAAACCAAAAAACCCAACTATCTTCTCCAAGGCCACAAATGGACTGTGGGCTATGAATTCCAAAGGGCATTTGTCAGTCCTTCTGTCACCTCTCCTCTTCCTGGCATTTATCATTTTTGACCATATCCTTCCTAAGACTTTCCCTATTCACTGTACAACACAATCTTTTCCTGGTTTTCTTACCTCTATTAGGGTGACTTTTCGGCTTGTTTGCTCATTCTTCTTCACCTGCAAGTCTGTTTTGTGTCCTCGGTCCTCACGGCTTTGTTCTTTGCCCATTTCAGAACTACAGGAATGAAAGACAGGGAACAAGGAGCAGTAAGAAAAGTGTTGTCATAGTTCAGAGGAGGCTTTGATCTGGTGAAGTGACAGTGGGAATAAAAAGGGGGATAAATGGGACGATCTGAGTGAGAAAACCGTTCGGTAGAACTGTAAGAGAAATTATCTATGGAAGACAGAGAGAATGAATTACCTCTTTTCTTAACCTCCATGAGGGATAAGAATAAAACAAATTTCATCGCTTCTCTGAAAAAACATTAGATGCCTGGAAAACTCAAAAAGTTTTATCAACTTAGATGGAAATACACATATAAACACAGAATATTCTTCAAAGGCAGAAAAAAGAGAATGAAGTTTGTGCATATGAAAGCTGTAACATCCTGACCTGTGGAATGGCAATGGAGCCTTTCAAATAACCCAATGGTAATATTCACAAAGTTATAAAACCACGTAACTGTAGCTATGTGGGAATACGTAGCAGTGCAATTTATGTTAGGAAAAAGAACATAAAAACAATGAAATAAGAGAAACTGAAAAAAGAAGACCACATATTTCCTGTAGAATGTCCAGGAATGATGGGAAACACCCAGGTAGAGCTTAAAGAAGATGCAGGAATTTAAAAATCTGGTAATTAGTAGGACTGAACAGGGAGGGATCTTATGGACAAAACTGTATTTCTTCAAAATTCATGTTAAAGCCCTAACCCCTCTTGTGACTAATTGAAAACAGGGTCTCTTAGGGAGGTAATTAAGGTTGGTAAGGTCATGAGGGTGGGGCCCTAACCCAATATAACCGGTCTTTATTTTTTAAAAATCTTTTCACAAAAACAATTATTTAAAACCATGTTTAAAGTTTAATCTACATCATTTACAACATGCATAGCAATGAAAAATGATATGCCTAAATGATTTCTGCAAATATTGACACTAAATAAAAAAATGCCTTCTCATTGTTGGACCTTTCTCTAATAAGACACAATGGGGATCTGTCAAACAAAACATTTGGAAAATGAGTGCTTTTCTATAACTACATTTGTTAGGGTTTGCCATCATATCCTATCAACAGATTTTACATACGTAGGAATAGAACAGTGTTACTGGAATACTACAGAGTGCTATCGAAATTATACACCTTTATTTTCATAAATAGCATGAAATATTATTGAATATATCTGTCGTCTCACTTTATGCCAGCAGATCTGAATGGGTACTTTTGAAAATTTAATTAATTTAGATTTTTAAGCACATTGTTTTTCTTTTTCTTATTGGTTCTTTTTAGTTATATAAGACAGCAGAATTTATTTTGATATAATTATACAAGCATGGAATATATCTTATTCTAGTTAGAGTTCCATTCTTATGGATGTACATCATGGTGGGATTCACTGTGTTGTTTTCATATATGTACACGGGAAAAGTATGTCAGATTCATTCCACTGTCTTTCCTTTGCTTATCCCCTCTCTCCCTTTCTTCCATTCCCCAATGTCTAATAATCTACTGCACTTCTATTCTTCCCTTCACCCACCACCGCTTATTGTGGATTAGCTTCCACCTATCAGGGAAAACATTTGACCTTTAATAAACTTAGCATGATAAGTCTCCAGATCCATCCATTTGTTGGCAAATGTCATAAAGTCATTCTTCTATCATAGAACACCTAGGTTGGTTCCATGGCTTAGCTATTGTTAAATGAGCTGCTATAAACATTGATGTGGATGTGCCACTGTAGTATGCTATTTTTACTCCTCATACTGAGGAGTGGGCTAACTGGGTCAAGTGCTGGTTCCATTCCAAGTTTTTTGAGGACTCTCCATACTGCTTTCCAGAGTGGTTACACCATTTGCAGTCCCACCAGCAATTTGTAAGTGTATATTTATCCCCACATCCTTACCAACATTTATTGTTACTTATATGTATTCTTAATAAATTTAGAAGGAGGGGAAGAGACACATATTCTCTGAAGTAGGGAAGAGGTCACTAAAGATGCAGTGCAAAGGTGGCCATCTATAAGCCAGGAAGAGAAGACTAGAAACCAATCCTGTTGATATCTTGATCTAGCCTTCATAACTATGTGCATACAAATTTCTGTTGTTTAATCCACCTGCAAGTTTGTGGTATTCTGTTAAGGCAGCATTAGTAGTATTTAAATGAAGTAATTAAAATGAAGTCAAGATGAGTGAGAATAGAAAGGTTAGAAATTACAAGAATAAAACCAAATGAAGTTCACACTTTCAGCTTTATCTCCAAGGAAATGATGTTCTGAAGTAAAAGCTCCAGTGTCTGTGGAAGCCAGGGTGATAAGGTGAATAAGGGAAGCCAAGGACAATACTAATAGCAATAACAATACAGCGGACTATGGCAAACTGGAGAGTGGATGACCCATCTAAAGGGGAAAGTCCACTATTTCAGCTCCAGCGATGGATGTCATGAGAAAATGTGGAATTGTGGTCTAGAATTTTAAATTATTTTCAAGGGAAGTCATAAATCTGCATTTTTTTTTTAAAGAGAGAGTGAGAGAGAGAGAGAGAGAGAATTTTTTTTTAAAATATTTATTCTTTAGATTTCGGCGGACACAACATCTTTGTTTGTATGTGGTGCTGAGGATTGAACCTGGGCCGCACGCATGCCAGGTGAGCGCGCCACCGCTTGAGCCACATCCCCAGCCCATAAATCTGCATTTCTTACAGGTAAAAACTTTCTATATTTGGAAGAATGATAAAGTTACACACACACACAAACACACAAGGACTCAACTAAAGATATCAGGACTATATCTGGCTCACAGTTCTGCTTCTGGTCTATGTATGTTCTAGGTGCATACATTTGCTGGCCTGAGGGTGTGCCGTGAACTTCTACATTTTTGTGTCTTAGTTCTTGCTATCTTTCTGATTTCTATGTTGTTCTTTTCTTGTTCACCCCATCTCTATATGGTCATAGAGCCTTAAAAAGCTGCCATCCATTTTTCATTTTACCTAACCACAGAAGAAAATCAGACGGTAGTAACCCTATTCTCCTTTCATCTCCCCCAATCAATCAAACAGCTGCCTTGCAAAAACATACAACATCTGGCCTTTTGCTGAAAGCCAAAATGGAGGAACAGGGACCAGATTCATCTTTCACCTAAAACAACATTAAAAACTAATCAAAATATAAGAAACAATAATTTTCAAGACATTGACTCACAAGCATTTAAGGACAATGATCCTCAAGAGAAGGAAAATGAACATGAAAAGCATATAGCTTGGTGTCTTGAGAATTTCCAGGTAAGGCCCTAGGAAGGAGACTCCCTGAATGATAGGAGACTCTGGAGAGTTCAAGTTGGCTAGAGTTCACAGAATGACAGAAAAGGAGAGAGAGAGAGAGAGAGAGAGAGAGAGAGAGAGAGAGAGAGAGAG